ATGACAGAATTTTCATTTTTGGGTGAACTATCCCTTTAAGCATTAAGGTACCTACCGTGGCAGGTCTTTTGACAAGGCTCTCTAGTTTAGTGTGGCTAAATTCAAGGCTGATAACATTATAAAGTTTCTCTCTCTGAGAGGGGGGAGTCTCAAAGTAGCGCCTCCACTGCGCCATTGACATCTCGGTCCCCTTCTGAGTAGCCACATCCATCACGTCAATCATACGCCGACTTCCTGTAAACAGAGACAAGCAGGGAGGAGATACTGAAGCACCACTGATGCTAGTCAATATGAAATTCATCAGCATATCCAACCACAAAAACACTTACCTACAAACAACTTCACATCATTTACACTGAAGTCTGGATCTGGCATTCTAAAAAGGAAATATTGCAAATTTAGATTAAATTTAGATGTAAAACTTTCTAAACATTCTGAATGTGTAAAGAAAAAGAACCACAAAGGACATAGACGAAAAAATACATAAAATAAAAAAATTTAAAAAAAAAGGACAATCTCTTACTTAATGCCAAGTCCATCAGGTCTCTCAAAAATGATGGGGTCCCGGAGCCCACATCTCTGAATGTACTCATATGTGAGGTCTAAAAAAAACAACAAGTAGTGTTAAATTACACACTACATTAAGATCGTTGAAGAGTTCCATAATGAGCTGCATCTCTTTCTCACCTTTGCCCTCCATGCGTTTGACTCTGTCGGAGTTGAAGCGGTTGTTGTGAAGCTTCTCCTCCAGATCGAAAGTCCTCTTTCCTTCGATTTCGTCGTCGGAAATGCCATCGTCTTGGTAATGCCGCCGTGTGCCAGACCGCTGTAAGACGAGAGAGTGAGACAATGAAAAACCGATGCCAGAGCAACACTACAGTATTTTTCTGCATACACTCCTCCTCGTCTCCTGAATGCTGAACAAATGTTGCATAACTACCACAACTTGCTGGGTTATTTGAGCGCACACCTACGCTCTCACAATCTCACACATACACTAAATAACTCGCCCATCACGAGCACTAGCCCACACACACCAACTATTAATAAGACATCTCAAATCACGCTGACAAAATCACAAGGATTCAATGTTAAGAGCCTTGGAGAACAATTACTCGTATGGTTCCAGCAGAAAACTACTAATGGTCACATTCTTTTTTCAGTTTAACATCAGAGCACGTATGAGTTTCTATACACGTACATATGTTCCTTTATTTCACCATAATACCTCTGTTCAAAATTGTATACATTTTAAGACAGCACTGCATGTATCCTTCACAGAGAAGGCAAGTGTATATAAGACTGTATTTAAAACAAGAAGTGATACTTTCAAAAATGCCACTGCAGTACAGATGATTAACAGTGATTTCTGCAA